TTCGTTTGCACACCGTTCAGTTGCACACCGTTCATTTGCACACGGAAAGATGCACACCGTTCTTTTGTACACCGTTCAGTTGCACACCGTTCATTTGCACATCAGAAGATGCACACCGTTCAATTGCACACCGCTCGTTTGCACACCGTTCATTTGCACACCGTTCACTTGCACACCGTTCTTTTGCACACCGTTCAGTTGCACACGAAAAGATGCGCACCGTTCATTTGCACACCAGAAGATGCACACCTTTCAATTGCACACCGCTCGTTTGCACACCGTTCATTTGCACACCGTTCCGTTGCACACCGTTCGTTTGCACATGGACAGATGCACACCGTTCCTTTGCACACCGTTCAATTGCACACCGTTCATTTGCACACGAGAAAATGCACACCGTTCTTTTGCACACCGTTCAGTTGCACACAAAAAGATGCGCACCATTCATTTGCACACCGTTCAGTTGCACACCGTTCAGTTGCACACCGTTCAGTTGCACACCGTTCAATTGCACACCGTTCAGTTGCACACCGTTCTTTTGCACACCGTTCATTTGCACACCGTTTATTTGCACACGAAAAGATGCACACAGTTCTGTTGCGCACCGTTAGTTGCACACCGTTCATTTGCACACCGTTGTATTGTACACCGTTCAGTTGCACACCGTTCATTTGCACACCGTTGTATTGTACACCGTTCAGTTGCACACCGTTCATTTGCACACGAAAGGATGCACATTGTTCAATTGCACACCGTTCGTTTGCACACCGTTCAGTTGCACACCGTTCATTTGCACACCGTTCACTTGCACACCGTTCTTTTGCACACCGTTCAGTAGCACACGAAAAGATGCGCACCGTTCATTTGCACACCAGAAGATGCACACCGTTCAATTGCACACCGCTTGTTTGCACACCGTTCAGTTGCGCACCGTTCAGTTGCGCACCGTTCGTTTGTACACGAGAAGATGTACACCGTTCAGACGTACGCGGTTAGACGCTTATCATTCTGACACGCACAGAAGGACATTGTATATCATATCGCTTGAATTTAGCTTTGTAATTATGCTATCTTCTTACTTCAAAATGTAATTAATTGTCGTATCTTATATGTTGTTAGTTATAATTTGAAGTGTGATGCTGTGAGGTTAGAACGCCTGTCAAAGTTAGAAACGATTACACATCATTTGTTACTGTATAGTTATGAATATTTAGCCTGTAAGTAGGTTAAGTGGCTACAGCATTTTATGTATGTAATGTTATTTCTTTTTATTAATTTTTCCCAAAATAAAGATGATAAATTTTTCACAAGTCTTAAATTCATTATTTCAACATTTCTCTGTATCATAAGCGTATAAATACTCTAAATTTAACTCTGTACACATTATTAGAAAACAATTTTATGTTTGAAATTTGTTTGAGGTGTGTGAGCATTTTACTTATCTACTTAAAGGATAAAAATTGTGATGTAACAAATTTGTATTTGTCAAAGTAAGAGATAATTGCTTTTAGTTTAATGGTAAGTACCCAGATAGCAAAATGCTAGCAGTATGCCAGCAGTATGCCAGCAAACTTGATCATGACGTGCAGCAGATATCAAGCTGCTGCTTTTTCATTAAGCTTAGTTTCTAACAGCTTAGCCTGCCGACTTAACACAACGATAGAAATAAACAACAAAAATCAATCATTATTTGCTATCACATCGTGACAGCGAAAGCGTTGTAAAAATACAACATGATCTGACATAATCAAGTACTGACAGCCTGCCGTCACGGCGTGAAGGCAGTGTTGTACCTCTCGGTGCAACAAGATATTAATTTGGGATTCGATCCGCTCAAAGGGTTGGAACCCACGAGGAAAACGAGGAAAGTGGTCAAGGTCGTAAAACAAACACACACTGCACCACACTTTTATTAAAATAACCCCTTTTATTTATTATAACACTTACAATTTCGAGTGGTTATTACCACTGATTACATTTAACCCTTTATTGAATTGATATAATTACCCGATTAAAAGATTACACTTTGATTGTTACAATTCGAGTAGTTGATTATAATAGTTGGATTTAATTAAAAGAATAATACTCGGGTTAAAGTCCTCGCTCGTGACTTAGACCGGTCGGCGACACTCGTTATCGCGGATGTAATATGACTCGGTTCTCGCGACGCGCGTAACGTATCGTTACGTTTAGATGTATGACAAGACTCTCTCGCCGGTCCTTAGACCGCCGAATATATAGGCGTCGCGGAGTCATCGAACTAGCGGCATTCGTGCCGTGTGCAATGCGGACTTCGTCCTCTTGCATTTCGGCAGTTCGTTGTCCTGTCGAAGTGCAAGATTTGCTTTTTATTAATAATCGTTCGATGTGCGTGCGGTCATTGCTTGCGTTCGATCAGTGATCGTTGTCCGCACGCGTTATGAAATTTGCAGCCTTGCATTTCCGCAAGTCGTTGCTATGCCGAAATGCAAAGGTTGCTTTGCAGTAATAATCTTGCATTTCCGCCAGTTCGTTGCTAGGCTGAAATGCGAGACTTAATTGTGGTAGCACTCGCGGGCTACAACACGATTATCACAACCAAATGTATTAATGATTGAAAATTATCAATATTTCTGATTGTGTGTGTGTGGCAACCATAGCCTTTTTTCCATGAGAGATTATATTCTTCTCTATTAGAGTAAAACGTTATAGATAATTAAATTCGACGCACTCAATACGAACTAGTTTCCATTTTATAGTTAAATTGTGAAATCTTTGACATACTTTATCGTACTGTTATATAAAAAAAAATGTATTTTACGATTTTTGAAATATTTGCATTTTACTTTTAACACTCAAATAAATCATTATAAAAATTAATGTAAAAATAAATTTGCAAATGATTTATGTTTTCTATTGATTATCACTTAAGGGGATGCTGGAGTGTCCTGTTTTATCATTACTTAGTTAAATACTCGTTTCTCTTAATTGCATTTACGGATGGAAAAATCCTTTTACATAATCAAAATATCGACAACAATGAATTGCGCTAGCTACATTTCAATACGAAAAACGGAAAAAAATTAAAAATTTACAGTTTCGTTATCGGCTTCTGCAGTCGACTCAACACATTATGTGCTGCATATAAAAGTTTCAGACCTTGCACGTTCACAGGAAGTAGCTGGCGAACGTCAGAAAACCTGAGAGAACAATCCTATGCTTACAGAAACGAGGTACGGGCTTTAGTATAAGAGGAAAGAGTATCTGCAGATTTCATTGATATGCTACGAGTGAAATTGACGTGCAGGCACACAGCTGAGCAGTATTTCTCAGCATAACAATTCCTCGATATTCCGATAGCGGCGCTATCACGAAAAGTGCATCACTGGATCAATAGAAATGACCGACTTGTCAGGCCCGTAATAAAAAGGTTCTTACGTGCCCTGGACAAAGTTTATCTTTTTGAGAGAAATCATAATAATAAAACGTATATAATATTAGTTATTTTTTTGTTCTAATAATTTCTTTATAAACAAGAAACGTATTATATTATTTACATGTATCAGGATTCGACACACGATGTATGTTTCCGTTGATCTTCGATTCTGTCGAAGCGTCAAGCGGCAGTCTCGTAGCAGACGTAGCATATCAATGAAATTTGCGGATACTCATTCCTCTTATACTAAAGCTTGTAGCTCGTTTCTGCAAGCATAGTATTGTTCTTTGAGGATTTCTATAAGTCGCTAGCTACTTATTTTACACGTGCAAGGTCTGAATTTATTGTATAGCACATTTTTTACTCGGTTACGAGTGTCAAAGTGTCGACTTAGTAAGAAGCGCCATTCCTCTTATCAGACACGCGCAAACGAAGAATTTTTTCGGAATTTTTGTTCAAAGTCTTGATTTTTTAAACAAAAAATTGATTGTAACTTTTTAATGACCACTTCAACAAAGAAAGTGTATGTACATGCTTTTTCGCAGAATAATATAAGAAATCGAGTCTAACCATTTTCACTCGCTAAAACGTTGGATCTATATTTTAAAAAATCAAAACATTGAACAAAAATTCCGAAAAAATTCTGTACGCTATATTGGGCTAAAGTGAACATTTTTTGTCTCTTAGACTTTTTTTTGATAAAATCAATAGTTTTCGAGATAGAAAATGTCAGAGCTTCAAAAATGACTAGATTTACGATTTTTGTTTTCACGAACTAATTATCCAATCAGCACTAATAAAAAATGAAAATGTTCGGCCAATCTTAAACTTTAATGAAAATTTTTTTATTTTGATCCGTACTGTTATTCACACAGTGAAAACTTTATTAGAATAAAGTTCTGAATTCTCGTTCGCGGCTCGTGAGCCGTCTCCAGTCTCAACGCGATTCATAGCATCGCAGCTCGACACAGCATACAACATGCTCGGCGCGCCGCGTAGCAACGCAGCGCACTGTTGCCAATTTAGCGGTTTTCCAGCTAGATCTAGCGATTTTTAAAGGTTGTCTAGCTGTCAAATTTAAAAAATGCGGCTAGCGGTAATTCTGACGGTATTTAATTTTATTTTTAGCGTTTCCTGACGATTTTTGTTTCACTGCTAATGCAAAGAATTTTTGTATTTAAAGCAATGAAAATGTGACCGCAGCCCATGCTCACATCACAGTGGCTGGATTCCGTTTCAGGTATATACGCGCATTTTATATAGTGAGCGTCACGCGGCCCTCTGATTGGTTCGTAACTCCTCAAGACTGAACTTAAGACGGTCTTGAATATAAGAACTGACTATGAATACCGGCGTATAGGGGAATGCGCGCATATGCGTAAAACGGAACGCAGCCAGTGTTACCAGTTACGTGATCATAACAATCCTAACCTGAATTAATTTCTTTAACGATTAATATCTCGGTTCGCGGGGCAGAGCGATGCTTTATTCTGCCAGATTCTTTCGTTTTATGAAAAAACGCGTCGAATAAGTATAATTTTATCGATTTTTGAGAGGATTACCCTCTATTTTACCCTATATTAAAATGGGAAAAACGAAAGTTTATCAGCAAAAATTTCGCTTGGAATGGAAGATACATTCAAAATTAAAGGATTGGATTCGGGAAGAATTGACAAATAAAACTCAAGCATACTGTACATATTGTAAGTGTAATATTCAATGTAAACTGAGCGATTTACTTTCCCATGCTGAAACAAAAAAGCACAAAACAAACTGTGAATCGCACATACAAATAAATAAACTTCCGTTCAAACCTTCGTCCTTTAAGACACAGCAGCAAGAGGCTGCTTTAGCATTATACGTTAGTCAACATAGCGCAATAGCGCCAATTGATCATTTAACTGCCTTATGTAAAAATAAATTTAACAATAGTGAGTCGTGCGTTCAAATAAGGTTGCACAGAACCAAGTGTACCAACATCGTAAAATATGTGCTGGCTCCTCATTTTATTGAAGATTTACAAAATGACAGTAATTCAAAATTTAGTTTATTGCTCGACGAATCAACGGATATTAGCATTACAAAACTTTTAGGTTAGTATTTGTGTATATATGAATATTCTCAGAGTAGAGAGAGAAGAGACAGGTCGATTCAATAATTAAATTTATTAATTTTGACATCAATCGACTTAGTTCTTCAGTTTGGGATAGTTTTTGTGAAGAACTCTCCATTTTCAACTCCTTTTATTTGCAGGTATTGTTATCTTATATTTTAGTGAAAAGAACAGAAAGATAGTGTCAACTTTTCTTTCAATGGCAATCCTAGAAAGTGGAAATGCAAAGGATATTGTAAAATGTTTCAAGAATGAGCTTGAGAAATTCAAATTGAACATTAAAAACTTGATTGGCATAGGAACAGACAATGCTTCTGTGATGGTTGGTTGCAATAAAAGCGTATATACTGAGCTTAAAAAAGATGTACCTGACCTTATCCTTATTCGATGTGTCTGCCATTCAATACAGTTAGCAATAAATTACGCATGTAAAGAATGTCTTCCAACACACTTAGAATTTTTAGTTCATGAGACGTATAATTGGTTCAGCATGAGTTCTAGTCGCCAGTCCGCATATAAACAATTATACGAAACAATTAATAATGGCAAGGTAATTAAAACTATATTTAAATAAAAAATGTATATCGACGTTTTAAGAGCTATCAAATTGAAGAATTATATTATTTTAGGAGACATTAAAAATTACGAAAGTTTGCGATACACGTTGGCTGTCTATTGAGGTTGCAGTTTCGCGTATATTAGATCAATGGCTCGAATTGAAGACACATTTTAGTATTGCAAGAAACTCTGAAAAATGTTATACTGCTAATACCTTGTACGAAATGTACAAGGATGATATTAATTACTTATACTTGCTGTTTCTTAAACCCGTTCTTTCAGAACTACAAATATTAAATAAGAGCTTTCAGAGCAATATTAATGATCCAACAAAATTATTGAATAATTTAGTAATGGTTATACATTCTTTAAAAAACAAAGTTATAAATTCAACATATACTTTTGACATCGTAACGACAGATTTTGATAATTATATAGACAGAACGTGCTACTTAGGCTATAGATTTGAAAATGAAATAATAAAGTGTAAAAAAAATAAAACATTAGATGAAAAAGTCGAGAAAAATATCCGGATGAGATGTACTGATTTTATCATTATTCTCATCAAACAACTGAAACAAAGGTAATGGCTCTATTCTGAAAATAAGTTTATAAATATATTTTTTTCGAAAATGATATATTAGCATTAGATATGTCAAGGATAAGATCAATAGTATGTGAATTTATAATTATTATTTTTAGATTACCTGAGAATTACAAAACTTTAAAGAAAATTGATTTATTTTCTGTCAATAATGTGTTAAAAGCTGTAAAAGGGGATATATCGTCCGTTTTAATTTTTGAGAAGGATCATAATATACGGGAAAAAATAGTTCAGCAATACCAAAATATAAATTACATCAAATGGATGAACGTGACAAATACTTCTCTATTTTGGGCGGAAGTACATGCCTACAGAGATGCAGGAGATAATAATCCGTTTGGAGATCTGGCTAAATTTGCATTAACTCTCCTTTCTTTACCATGGTCAAACGCTGATGTTGAACGAACATTCAGTCAGTTAAATCTGATTAAATCAAAGATTAGAAATCGATTACAAAATGCAATGGTTAATGCAATTTTACATATAAGGTAATAGATGGATGCAATTTAATTTTTAAATAGAAAATGTTAAATAGCAATTGTTTTTAGATATGGTCTAAAAAGGTATAATAAATGTTGCCATGATTATGAGGTACCAAATTCGTACATAAAGTTAATTGGGACCAATATAGCATATGTTGGTGACAAGGATGACAAAAATGAGAACGTCATTGATCATGAAGACGAATGGATCACGATCAATATTGAATAGAGAAATTTGCTGCGACCTCTTATAAGTTTTACATTTATTTTTAGTTTATAAAATAACTTTTTAAAAACTTTTATATTTTGTTCTTATATCTATTTGAAAAAAATTTTACAACAGATGAAATGGGTAAACAGAATATACAAAAACTCAATATTAAGTTTAACATATATATATGTATATTCCAAGTTATAAGTAATTATATATGTTACATATACACATATTCGAAAAGTGAATTAAACATTTACGTTTCAGTTATTCAGTCGTTTTAATTTATCCTGACGACTTTATACTGTTAGCCCGATATTTCATGTGTCGACAAACTTTTCAAGCACGTTGATTGGCTATAGGACAGAGAGATCTGAGAATCTCTCTGTTTTACAACCAATAAATAGGCTTGAAAAGCCTTGTTGTACGACACATGAAATATCGGCCTTAGCTTGATCTTTAATCGGAATCGACCAATCATGAAAGTGCTTTAGGGTATATATAACAGTCTCTCTTTCTCCTTCTATATACATATATATACCTATTGTATATATATACCTCGCAAATTAAAAAACCCAACAAATTTAAACCTTTGAAAACTAACCGCAAAAATTTGATCCTTCCTAAATTAAAACGATTACCTAACCACAAAATAGAAAACCCAATAAATTTCAACCTTTGAAAATTATCCCCAAAAATTTGAACTTTTCTAAATTAAAATGATTATCTAATAATGTAACATAATAATTTAAACTTTAATACTTTAAATGATATTATCTAATATAATATATGACCACGAAAAGTAACTGATATATTACTAAATGTGCCAGTTCAAAGT